AAAAATGTCACAAATGAAAATATTTTCTTAGTTACATATATATACAATTCTTAATGTTTCATTGCTGAATTTCAAACCCAAAACAAAATAATTTCTCCTTTTGTAAATACTTAAACAATAATTCCAATTGAAATAATTATCACAGAGAAAAATTTGTTGGGAGCACTAATTTGTAAACAGAGTACTACTGAGTACTAAGCCTTTTAAAAATGTGAAATTAGAAAATAAGAATTCCTTGGACAATACGATTATCCAAATATATCGACAGATACCGATATTTGGTGTTAGTGCAGGTAAGGTACTTTAAACTACCGAAACAAATTAAAATCTAACCTATAGAAGACTTTTTTATGGTTGCATTTATAACTAAAATTCATAGTATTTAATTAGTTTAAAAAATGAATAAAAAGAATAGTCATAAAAAAGCTTAAAAAATACTTTGCGTTAGTGATTTTATAAACACACACGCGCACATATATACATTAACTTCTGAACTATAACTTTAGTTAGTTCATAGTAGAAACTTTGTACACGTAAATATAATTATTAACTTCATCTGAAAGAAGTCAGCATAAAACTATTCAATTTATTTTACAAAATTCATCCTAACAACTTTGCCACTTCAGAGAACAAAAGACGGCTTTCGGCTTCAAAACACAATGCGAATATGGAGGGAGTAAAGCCGACATGACAACGTAACCTAAGGACTTTGTGCGCTGCGTCAGCCACAACCATGTCGGCACGGATTTTGTAGACAGAGATATTGGACTACGTGTAAGACAAGTCTGGTAGTCTAGGGTATCTGATGATGATAAAACCTCGTTGAAACGTTGTACATTTACTGTTATGTTAAACTTATATTAAAGTTTTTCTTCATTACCCATTCAAGCCGTCTCCAACCATTATAAGTCTAGTATTAATCACGTCCGGTTCACTTTGAATTATAACGTAAAAAATATATAAAAATAACCTCACTACTGAAGAGGCTTTAAATTAACATCCAAATGCTTATCATTTTAAGAAACAAACACATTACTGTACTATTTTTACAAATTTAAAATTACGAAGATTAGTATTCGGAACACTTGACAACATTAAAACTGACGGTTACTGGAGAATAAATACATGGTCATGGTGAGAATTGTGCAACGATGGCAACTTTGGCTGTCAAGAAATACACGAAATTCGAGCAGTAATCGTCACAATATTATTTGCAACAATAAACAAAAATATCAGTGTACATTATTTGCTGTAAGAAGCAAAACGGCCCATCGCCGATAATGTAATTTTTTCCTCATATCGGTGCTAGGCCTATAGCCTACCGATACATCGATGCACCCTTATATGTAACGCCAAATATTTACACAGGACGATTAAAAACCAGTACAAGTCATGGCAACAGCTACACAAACCACTGACATAAATCCACGATTTATACCAACCGACCTAGTTAGTCTCATCAAAAATGCCTATTAGTAAAAAATAAAAATGCACTACACCTTAACGTCTTTAACCCAATAACCTCAAATATTTATTGAAAAACAATTGTTTATATTTAAAACACATTATTTGGGAGAAGTCATACAAAGTAACTGTATTACGTCAATATAATGGGTTACTTTGTCCATAAAGGCAATGCTACACTTTTTATCTAATCAATAAAACCTTTATATTCCTACATTTGACTTATAGTTGTAACTTTGGGCAGGGCTAGATTAAGGACTTGATGGAGTGGGGGTGGGGGGTGTTAAATCTTTTAGGTGTACTCTCAGAACAAGGTGTAAGAACATGTTAATGAAAAATTACAAAATAGCAGGTTTATATGAGACAATAAAATAACTGTTATCACAGTGACACAGTTGCAAACATGTTTTTCAATAGGGTGGGGGGGGGAGGATAGGATCTGTGACACCCGAGGGGGGGGGGGCAATTACACCACCCATACCCACCTCCAAATCCAGCCCTGACTTTGGATGTGGAATATTTCATAGCACTAGAACACAACAGCATGAATTTCTTTAGGATTAACCTTTTGAATATCATATCAAGAAAGAACATTGTAAGCAAGTGGTTTTAGGCTATTACTTCTACCTAAACAAAACAATACTATACAAATGATTCACATCTCAAAAACTTAAAATATACAGACCAACACAATTGATTTTTTAGTTAAATTTTTATGTATACTTTCATTGAAAAATGCCTTTGTGTGCATGTAATTAAATGTATTTTCAAGATTATGAGGAAGACAGTAATGGTATGTAAACTACACATATAGTACTTCAAAAAGCATGGTGTAGATATTGAAACAGCTAAAATAATTAGTCAAGAATAAACTGAATTAACACAACAAACAAATAATATATAATATAGAAACTAAAGTGCTTCATTGCAAGATTAATGTTAGACTTTCTCTATACTTTCTCTATACAATAAAAATTAATTTACTTGTAATTTAATATGCTACAAACTCTCTCAAGGATTTGACATTTATTTGTTTTTATAGTTATTTTCTATTACTGTTATTTTACTTTACTCTAAATCAATTAGAACCTTAAAGTGTATACATAAGTATATTCTGTAAAGTTTAATGTGTAATGTTTTATAACTTCCATAATATTCAAAAAATGAAATTTCAACAATGATAGCTCTACAGATAATATATATATTTACAGAACTTTAAATTATTTTGGCAAAGTACTCTCTAATTTAAAGGTAAAAAAATAGCATACCCAATCATCTACATTACATAGTAAGCACCTAACCAGTAGCTTTGATACATAAAGTACTTAATAGTAGCAACTCAAATTAATTTCTTTCATGTTTTTTTCTGGTCTTCACTTTCACAATATATCAGAATTTGCTAATGTATGCTTGAAGCACAAAACCATACAATCATACCCACATTACTATTATAAAAGACTACATTATGATGGTTTATTAACAATTCTTGTTAAACTATATACACATTACAATAACAGATCTTTCTTTCTAAAATTAGAAAAATTACCTGCAGTTTGGAGGTGGATCCAGAGTAATCTCTGCTAGTTCCTTCTGAATCCTAAAAATAAACCCAATTGCTTTTATTTAACCACCAAGTACAAGAGAAACATCACACTGATTTTTTTTTGTCTAGCTTAACATCTGCAAAGATATGAAAGTGAATATACTCATGTAAGTCACAAAATTAGTAATGTTTATAAAATTCCAATACTGTATACAAAATATAAACTCATAATTAGAAAATTATTCGTATAACTAACAAATAATATTTCATTTAATTATTTCACAATCATATAATTTTAAAATAAAGCAAGCTTGATTTTCATGCTTTGTTTGATGTTGGAATATTTTACTCAAAAAGAAATCAGTTATCATTAATTAGATCCCTTCAAGATGTTATTTACATCTTGGATGCTTTCAAGAATTTTGTTCAATGAGTATGAACAAGAAATATTATTTAACCAAGTTCTGATAAATGCATTTCCATCATCAAGTTAGTATTCCTAATGTTTCTTTATTACACATAAATTAACTAAACATTTTATAACAGTCTGTCATATAAAATGCTTCACATCTGTCTTCCACTAATATAATGAACTTCACAACCTTTTAAAGACTTTTAAAAAGTTAAATTTTGTAACTTCCACTAGTGTAAGAAAAGAATGAATTGCATTTTTTCTTCATTACTGTAAGCATATTCAAAATCAGTTGGAAAAATCTGTCACATCTAAGTAATAATCTGTGAACAAAATTAATAATACTTCCATGTTACACAAATTTCAGTTATATATGTGAAGACATATTAAATGTAGTTAATCAATATTACTAGGTTACTGTATCAAATGCAAAATAATCTTAATAACCTTTTAAATTATTCTAAATATAACTAGTACAGAGAGGCACTGGTCAACAACCTTCTTAATAACCTTTTAAATGATTCTAAATATAACTAGTACAGAGAGGCACTGGTCAACAACCTTCTTAACCTTTTAAATGATTCATTTAATAACTAGTACAAAGAGGCACTGGTGAACAACCTTCTTAATAACCTTTTAAATGATTCTAAATATAACTAGTACAAAGAGACACTGGTCAACAACCTTCTTAATAACCTTTTAAATGATTCATTTAATAACTAGTACAGAGAGGCACTGGTCAACAACCATCTTAATAACCTTTTATATTATTCATTTAATAACTAATACAGAGAGGGTCTGGTCAACAATCTTCTAAATAACTTTTTAAATGATTTATTTAATAAATAGTACAGAGAGGCACTGGTCAACAACCTTCTTAACCTTTTAAATTATTCTAAATATAACTAGTACAGAGAGGCACTGGTCAACAACCTTCTTAACCTTTTAAATGATTCATTTAATAACTAGTACAGAGGCACTGGTCAACAACCTTCTTA